GGCGTGTGACACTTCACGCTACAATGTCGGTGCAGTGCTTTCCCAGATTAACGATCAAGGCAGAGAAGCAGCGATAGCCCAGTGTCGCAACTGAACGAAAACGAAAAAAAAAAAAAAAATTTTGACCGGAACAAAAACGTAACTGGAATGTCATTGATTATTTCATTCCGGAGCAGAAACGAAATATTTTTATCATTTTTCATTTCACGGGAAAACTTGGTGATGCGGAACAACTGAGGTCATGCAATGTGAGCGATATTCTGCATAACTGAGGGCACAGAATCAGTTCGTATCTATAGGGCAGGTATCCCTAAGTAAAGACGTGTCCAAATATTGTGGAAAATGAAAAAAAAAGTGGCAACCATGAGGCTCTGCAGAGCTCCGCTCTTGACGACCAAACCTGGGCGACCCAGCACGCCTGTGAGGCTGCGTCGAGGCAAGCCTTTGACGTCCCCTCATGGGAGGCCTAGGCCCAGCCACCTAAACCTGCTGGTTTTTTATAATAAAGTTTATTCCTCCTCCCCCTCCTCCATAGACATTTGTATTAATTCAAGGGGGCTTTCGTATGCCTTTCGCACAGGCCGCCCTGAAGCTTGCTTGATCAGAACAGTGGTCGCGCATATAAAAGAATACCCTCGACAACAGGCTGCTGAGATCAAGCTCGCACTATTCCCAAAAAAAACATTGAGCCTGTTAAGAATATTTCTAATTCACTTTTCAGATAATTAAATACGATAGGGCACAGGTTTGCGTTATTTGGTTATGAATGCACGGTAAAGCTACTTGCGCTTCCCTTAGAAACGTGGCAATTTATTTTAGTCCAGTCCCGGGTTCTTAAAGGGGAAATATTATGTTTTCATAGTTAATTTAACTTAAATGTTTTGCAGAAAATAAAAACCGTTACAAACCATTGGGGAACTTTTTTATTTTCTCTCTGGAATGGAAGCGGAACAAAACATTTTGGGGTGGAACAAAACTAAAACCAAACCGGAAAACCCTATGATAGTGTTCACTTCCCGCACGCTAACGCTAACCCCTGCGGAGCTGAATTATTCTCAGGTTTATCAGGAAGGACTGGCCGTCGTCTATGGAGCCACGCATTTTTATCAATACATAGCGGGCAGACATGCGACTCCCGAGTATCCTAGGGCCCCAGAAGCAGATTCCACAGACACTTTCTCCTCGTTTAAACCGATGGTGCATTAAGATGTCAGCATAAGACTACGACGTCGTGTACTGTCTTGGAAACAAGCTCGGAAACACCGACACACTGAGCCGCTTACCCCTTAGCGAAACCATTGAGGATACACCTCAAGTTGGCTGCGTGCTCATGTTCGAAGCGCTACTATGGCCCCCCACTAACAGCCGATGAAGTCATAATGGCCACGCAAGATGACCCGACATTGTTCAAGCTGTACAATGCCCTGATGGAGGGCAGAGTTCAAAACTTCCAAGAATGAGAACTTCAACACTTTTTACTAGAGGGCAACGGAGTTCAACTGTCATCGTGGTTGTATCGAATTGGGATCACGAGTTGTCATTCATGGCCCACTTTAACAATGAGCAATGGCTCTCATTCATGCCGGAGATCGAGGCGTGATCACAATGAAGTGCGCCCGCAGCTACATGTGGTGGCCGGGAATCGGCAAGGGCATCAAGATAGCTGCAGAGTGCACAGCCTGCCACTTGAATCAACGTGCTCCGCCACGACCTCCAGCATCGGACTGGGGCAGACAGAGGGCAAATAACACAGTGCAAATAGGGTTATTTGTTCCTAAGAAATCAACTTCCCCTCCTTTCAGCGTTATATCTCTCTTTCGTTTACTTACTTCCCTTGATATTTTTTTATTTCTATCTTTAAATTGGAGAGTTGCATAATAAAAAAGAGGGAGTAGATTTATTTATTTATAGATTTGTTATTTATTTCAGAGAAAAACTGCCAGTCTAGTGCCGGACTTTGGGCAGGGGTGTGTGGCGCAGAGAACGCAACAATGTGTAGGAGGTACAGCAGTATAGATAGTGTTGAATGAAAGGGCGATGATTCAAAACGCAAAAAAATAGAAGCGACATAAAATACGGTTCACAATCCCAAGAATGGCCATAATACACTAAACACAACAAAAACTATAAAAACAGTGCCCACTAGGTTATGTTGTTTGGGTAAAAAGTAAAAAGAACTCGAATACCAACTGTAGCAAAAATAAAGTTGGCAATATTAAGAAGCGAGACATAGCAGAATCGAAGCGTTAAAAAGTCGTGCAGAAGCGAGGCATTGAACCTCAAGCAATCAGTCTGATCAAGATGGGTATTAAAATGAAGCGCACTATAATATATATGAAGGTGTAGTTATGAGCCATGTGAAACAACTAACGCATGAAGAAACTAGTTGAGATCGACACTTTCAAGAATCTCTGGTGGCAAATTGTTCCACTCTCTGCTTGTGCGAAAAAAAAAAAGGGTACCTGTATATAGGGGCTCAGTCACTTTTTTAAGATTAAAAGCATGAAATTCGTGGCGCGAAATTGGTTCGATATAATTAGTTGTATTGTCAGCTTATTATATGAGATAGAATAGCTTCGTTATTTCGCGATAACGTCTCCATTCCAGGGTTTCTAGTTTAGCGCTTTCCAGTAGAACTGACGGAGATGTGTTACTTTTAGGCATTGAATATGAATTTTACAGCTTTTCGCTGTATTGATTCAAGTTTATCTGTGTTAGGTTGCGTGTGTGGGTCCCAGACAGCCGATGAATATTCTAGTATTGGTATTATGTACGTTTCACATGCAGTCATTTAAGTTCACCGCATGCCTTAGCGAGTGCCCAGCTTTGGCAGCCTAGTATTTTTAAGGCCTTTTTCTCAGTATAAGAGACATGTTCATTCCATCTTAAATCGGATGTGATGACAAGACCAAAGTGCGTGTACTGCGAGACTAAGGACAAGAATAGATTGCTTAGGTTTATTGTAATTTTAATGGATCTTTTTGCGGGTTATGATTATCGTCACAGTTTTTCTCGCGTTAAAGGTTATTTGTCATTTTGTGCACCAATAGAGTTATTTAAAAGAACCTCGTCGCTGCAAGCGTTAACTACTTTAAAGCATGCAGGCATCTGCAAAAAAGCTTTAGATTTGCTGGAATATCACTGGTGGCATTATTGATATAAACTGAAAAGAAAACAGGCCCGAGGACGGATCCCTGAGGTATGCCAAATTTAAGCGGCGCGGACGGCGAGTTCATACTACCGTCCGTAATATCGCACCCGGTGAATATTACTCGCAATTTCAAAGCCTGACCTGAGATGCATCAGGTAATTAGCACTAATTAGCTAATTAGTTGATAACTGTAACTACCATGTAACCGGTAAAACTCGAGAATGTGCTGTAAATTGAGCGGTCTGTGTGGTACACTGAATGCTCGGAAGCATGCATTTCGTCCTTTTAACAATACCCTATTGATGTGCTATACTGTCGATCTTTACCTCAACGAGCCCTAAATATTGTTTTGCGGGGTCATAAAAGTGCCTTCCATAGGAATCCTCTTTTTTTCACGTGTACCCTATTTTAATTTTTACGTGGCACCGTAGAGTACACCATCTCAACGCTAGATGGAGCTACGAGGGCTTGATGGCTGTCACACTCTGAACAAAACTGGCTAGGGAACTTTTTTTTACCACGTGATTCAAATAACTCTATACCATCATGAACTAGACATATGCCAGTACCTGAATCCCAGAAAGCAATTGGATATCTTCAAGCACGTCTCCACGGTAGCGATTCAAGTGCGGTAAAACAGCCGATATTTCCGAGAGCAGCGCCCATAGGCATTGTGCATTCTTTTTTAATAAACTGGGAAACCCCCACTATTGAAACTACGAAACTGTAACTCCGGCAGAAGAAAGGTTCATACAGTTGCTCCGGCAGAAGAAAGGTTCGTACAGTTGCTACTTGAAACCGTGAAAGCAATGAGAAAATCAGAAAGGGAGAGGAGTTATTATCGTTTTGATCTCCGGTCCTGTAGAGTGACGCAGGGCCTCGCCCCCACAATGCGGGAAAGCGCACCTCCTGCTCGTGATACAGAATCCTGGGGAGGCTTCCAGCGCTTGCTTTCGTCGGGACGAGAGAAGAGATAGTGTAATTACAGCATGCGACAAACCTTTGTAATTCCACTCGCACTGGACGGATTCTTAAAATTTTTGTGGCGTTGAATCAGGAGGCAATAAGCTCTTCTAGTGAATTCATTCCATGGTTACTTGAGAAAGCGTTCCAGAGCCCCTTCAATGCATTTTGTTCGACAGGTGTCACGACGAAAACGAGCCCATTTTGCGATAATAGCGCGCGCTGGACCAATCTGTGCGCGTGTTTGTGTGTATGTAACAAAACATATGAATAAGTATGAACTTAGCAATTGAAGGGTGGACTAGGGGCCGGATTTCGCTATTGTGTTCAATTATTAAAGGCAAAGCTTAAGGGTCCCCCAATTTTTTTTTATTCTCCTGACGAGGATGAATGGAAATAGTGAATGCATTTAATAAAGCATTGCATTAAAAGCATGGGTGCGCAATAATTATTTCTAACTGCTCTTCTGCCACCATGTTAGATTGTGATCTATGACCCGAGCCCACGCTCTGAATCTTGTCAGGTATTCTTCACCGTGAGCGGCGGCGGCGGGAAAAGGGGGTGGGGGGGTGGGGGGGCTTGCTTGGAATTTTACGGTAGTGGTTATGGGCTCTACTGCTGACCCGAAGGGCGCAGGATCGTATTACGGCTGTGGCGGCTGCATTTCGATGGAAGTGAAGTGCTGAAGGCCTGTGTTTTGAAAATTTAGGTTCACATTAAAAAGCACCAGATAACAAAAATTTCAGGAGCCCTGTGCTACAGTGTCTCATAACCATACAACGGTTGTGGGATGTAAAACCCCAACAATTATTATTGACACAGATCTCCTGCTGTGACACGGGGCTTTTTCTGCAAGTAATAGTCCTTCCCCCTCTCTGTGGTGCAGGCTCACGCATCGTCTATGACCGGAGCTTCCTTATGCAGATGCGCCACTCTCCATTGGCCCAAACGCCACCCAAAAACTTGCCTGTGATCCCTGGGGTGACCCTTTCCAGCAGCCCAGATGTCTCCAAGGCCAGTGGATCTCCCATGAAGCCCACAGAGAATGGTGCTTTGTCATCTCCAATCAAGGGTGCCAAGCCTGGTTAGCTGCTTTTACCACACTTATTTTGCACCTTGTTTTTTGCTTTTATTTTATCTCTCCGCAGACTTCTCTTCCAACTCGCACGTACGATATGTAAATTGGCACCAGTGTCATTAATGTAAAATGCTTGGAAATTCGGCAATGAAAAGACAAGTGCACTGCATGTTGAAAGGACAATATTTGGCTAGAAAATCTGAAAAACCAGCTATAAGGTAGACAACTTGATCATAGCCAAAAGTAGACATGCTTGAGGGAAAACAAAAAAAATATACTTTTGATTGATTAGATATACCAGGTGTTTACCAAAAATGAAAATATGTACAGTAAAACACTTTGAAATAACTGCACATACTGTAGCAAGAGTTCTTGATTTTAGAAATAATTTCAAGTGGAATAAAGTGTCTTGCAGCAGTGCAATTCTTGAAAGGGCCAGAAGTGAGTGCCTTCCTTTTGGATACAAAAAAAAAAGTTTTACGCATCTTCATGAAATGAATCGTGACAAGTGGGCGAATCATTGATAATCGTTCTTACCGTAAATCGTATGTGACATTACCCACTCCCTCATGCAAATGAGTGACGAGTGTGTATAGTAATAACATTTTTCGCAGTTGGGCTGCCGCTTATTGCGCCCTCGACTTCAATGTAGCAACTCGTTCTTAACGTTTCCGTTTTGTCATTGCTTTCAACCACTCGGTCTTTCCACACTTCTTAAACTTCAGTGCGTGAAGTGTGCCCGTTAACTTTGCGGTCAAATGAGGTATATCTCTCCTAATGTTACAACGAAGCAATTTCAATGTGGAATGCGATAGTATCCTCTGGATTTTATACATCTCACTCAAAATCCAGTCTCCCCAATTCTTTCAAGAGGTGAACTATTAGTTTTCTTCTTCTCCAAATACTCATCGTGTGCAGAGATGTTTTGTCTTGTGCCATTTAGTTGAAACATGTAGCATGGGCTGGAAGTGTGCACGACTATTATGAAGCATAGTTTAGACAACTGCACGATACTTTGACAAGCTGGCATTTTTTGGCTTTCTTTCTAGAAGGATCGGGTGACGAACCACAGTTTGCAATGGACATCTAGTCCGACCAACAAGTGCCAAGCTATTTCTTTGACTCGTCTCGGCCAAGTGCACCACCTCTTTGTATTTTTCATATTGCTCCAGTACGGAGTGCCACCAGTGTCAAATGGTGGCTGAATTGCCTTGATGCATTCTTTTTGTTTCCTTTGGCGAGCACGACAAGCAAGTGGGCGCACAATTTTTTTCTGTTTTGTTTCTTTGGTGTGTGAAAATGTGGTGCCCAGTTTCTTTGGTGTGTGAAAATGTGGTGCCCAGGTAAGTAATTATGGGCTAGCAGCAATGTGACTTGATTTTTCTTTTTAGCTGAAATTGCATTTTCTCGTATATTTACCTGCAGAGAGCAGTATAGCATGCACTCAATGAGTGTTGTTTTTTTTTAATTATCTCACCAACGAAACAAAAGCCTGCAGTTGCAGCCTGTGGAAGATTGCCTTCTCTCATTTCCTGTAGGGCTAGATGACAGATATTTTTTAAAGATTGGGTGCAACATCTTTTACTTTTTTTACCACTTCTTGCTATGGTACCACAGGAACCATATTCCTTTTAAAGGTTTGCATTGGGATCAGAACTAAAAAGGAGTGGGACTTGTGTTCCAATCCTTCAGAAGAACGGCTATTTGGGCTAGTTGGTTAGAATCCATGATGAATACATGAATCCATGGTTAGAATTCATGGGCTTCAGCGCGAGCACGAAGGTGCTCGCGCTGCAGCCCTTATCAATCCTTCAGGTAGGTTCACCTCGTTAACTTCAACTTTGTATTGCTCAGTCTTTAATAAAGTTTCTAGGGGAGAGTGAAGGGAGAGTGTGAAAATATTGGTTTCTTTCTGATTTGTGGGCTTAGTCGGTCCTTTGTGTTTGTCGACCAGTTGCACTGTCTAGTGATGGTCTTCCAAAATTAAATTGCTTTTATATGTATTCACAGATGCGGCCACCTTATTAGTTACCGACTGATATGGTTGGTATAATTACAATCTAACACTACGACTCGTACAGATGTGCGTGTCTAATTGCTGTTGCAGCTCGGGGCTCATTTAGAATCTAGCTGACATTTTTTTTTAACTTTGTGCTTCTTGGAAAAACCTATTGAAATGTGTGTTGAGCTGATTAGACAAGCTGCATTGATGATGCATATTTCTTACAAATTCCTTTTTTGTTGTCTTTGTTCTTATTGTAATGCACCAAACGAAGCCAAAGGTGCATAGTTTTTTTTGTAAGACCTTGCTTTTTTTTACCAGTGTAGTGAACATTTAACAATGACACAAATGCTTGTGCCATCTCAGATTTTATGTGATGTTCTTTCCTGAAGGATATGGCTTCACGTAGCATTATGTTGTTGAGTAGTGCCTCAGTGTTTGAGAAAGGTGGGAAGAAATGTCAATGGCAGGGTTGCGCAGTGCTTGGTTTCTTGTTGGCCATTCCCTTTTGTTTGTTTATGTTGTTTGGATGTGCTTTTGGAATCAAAATTCTAGAAGACATGTTTTTCAAAAGTTTGTTGGCTCAATAAAAATACAAAAGCTCATGACCTAGTCGTCGTCCAGCCTGCTAATACAATAAGAAAATGGCTAGCAAACAAACAAATAAAAAAAGACGAGGTGCAATGAACGACGAGGCCTTAACTCCAAGTCGGAGTGGTGCTTCACATGAAAGAGGGAAGAGTAGTATGATACTCAAACTTATGCGTGCTGCAGCGTGTGCCAGTTTGACGAGGCAGTTGTGCTCATTGGTGCAGTCTGTATATGTGCTTGAATATATAATGCTCTGTAGCATGGAGCCACTGTTCACAAGCAACCAGGTGTGAAGATCCTTCAGTGAAATTTAGTGCAAATGTGCCAGCTTACATAAAACGCCAATAGGGAGGGTGTGTTTGCGCAAAAGGTTGATCAGGAGCTTGCAGTTTGCAGCTCCTGAACGTCTTCTGGCATGACACATTTGGACAGTGTAACTCCAAACAAGGCTTAAAGAGACAAGTTCTTGAATGGAGGGTGTCGCTGGAGCCAATGATTTAAGAACAGCACTTGTTGAAACATTGGCTTCAGCGTCACTCCCCGATCAAGGATTTTTTTTATTTGGAAATGTATGTGAAACTTAAGTGCTGTGCTTTAGAAGCCAGTCATTTCTATTTCTCTCAACATTGCTTTTGCATATTGTGTACGTGCCAAAATGCAAAATGTTACCGCTGTGGACTTCAGCCATACTACTGTTTTCAAAAGTGCGAGTGCCCAGTTAGGCACGAGTTCTCAGCTGCATCTTTGTTTTGCACAACTTTTGAGCCTTCTCACGTACTGAAGTAGCCTTGGGATAGACTCTGGTAGACATCTGCATGGTATCAGCGTGTGAAACAGGGTGAGTTGGTTTAACTTCATTTTTTAAAACAGCGCAAAAGGATTACACGGGACAGGCACAGGACTAACAACTGTTAGGTTTATTATGCAGGAAGAAATAAGTACATGTCCGGCTGTGCACACATCACCGATAACTGTCACTTCTTTTAAGCAGGCTAAATTTGCAATCATGATAGATAGATGGGTTATATATGCAAACATCATGGTTGTTTTTAATGGTAAAGGCTTCTGTGATATCATGTGATGTTTGGTCAGTGTGCCTGAAGATGGCTTGAGTGCTATGTGGATGTAAATTGTTTTTTTATAGCACTCATGTCATCTTCAGACATGTTGACCAAAGGTGACGCGAGATTATCGACTGTTTCGGCAGTGTTTCGGTGTTTGTAAACAAACTTGCTCGTGCTGAACGGCCCGCCCCGCCCAAAAAGACTTCCTGTGAGCCACTTGTGGTAATGTTTTTTGAATGGTCCCTGCGGTGTTTTCATAGAATTTCAGTTTGGTGCTTAATTTTTTTTGGTGCATTTCTTAGGATTTGTGTAGCAATGTTTAGCATAAGAGGCTGGACGTTGTGCACGGGTGAGGTACAAACAGGAAATGCATAAACTGCAGAAGTTTGTCAGCGCACTTAATGGGGCCAGTTGGTTCTGCATGTCGACAATGTGGGTGTACTTTGAAGACTGACAGGGAAGCGACGGGACGCACCTGTATTTTCTCTGTCCAGCCTTGAAAGCGCACCTATATCCTCAACGTGCAGAAGAGTTGCCCGATCCATAGTGAAGTTACACAATTCGACTTTTTGACTAAAGCTGAAAACCTGCCTCCTGTCAAACCACGATTATATTTGTGTTTTAGGCTGAGCACACAACCTCTGGATAAAACATTTCTGCACCTGTGTCTCTGTAGGCAATTTATATAGAGATCAGTGGTGATCGGAACCACTTGCAATCTTAAAGTGTTCAGTGCCGTGCGACTGAGAAATTGTAAAACGCACTCGTTACGCGAGGATGTCAACTGCGGCTGAGTCACTCGAATGATTATGGTTTACTCATGAGTAAACTGAATTTTAAGTTAAACCCACCTAAACCTGCAGTGCATGCAAATGAGCTCTGCACAGACCCTTTAGGTGGCGGGAGGGTTAAGAATGGAAAATAAGACAATCGCCTGTTGGTGGCATGAAGCCATAAAGGGAATTCGTACAGATTTCCTTGCAGTTTCGTGCCACAAACGGGTGGTTGTCGTATTTTCCTTTCCTGCAGTCTATGTTCCCACCGAAAGATGAATTAGCTAGACTGCGACGATGTTCATTTGCAGCAGCAAGACAGGTGATGAGTCATTTTCTTGCACAGATGCGAGCCCACTCGCAGGCATCGCTCTTTCAAAAAAAAAAAAAAAAAAAAAAAAACAAATGAAAAAAAAACCATGGGACACCGCGATGCAGACTGTGCGGCGATTCATGTTAAACGTGGCTGCTTTGTGTCCATGTTGTTTCGAGTACACATTATTTATGTGGCTCAAACTATACAAGAAATACTTTTGCAATGAATTTTCAGCGTTACTTTTCACATTTTGCTACCCACTTCAGGTGTCGGCACACTCATCTGCCACAAGTGGAAGGCAGTGTCATCGATGTGTTCCCTGTAACTGGGGGCCTTCGACTAATCTAACCGATAAACATAACCTTTGTGCTGTTAGTCCGTGCTGAGCTGTAAGTTGCTGATAAAATGGGCTAAACAAACCTACGTGGTCTTTCTGGCAATCCAGTTTTCCCCAAGTGATTGCTGCGATGCGCTGCAGGTGGTCTACCTCTATTGGTCGGAAAACGGAACATTTTGACTAATACATAAAATTAATTCAGGCTTGCAGATAGCATCCTCGCTTGACACACCTGTGCCCTAGTTGCGAGCACTTCAGCGGAATAATTCTATCCACGTAAAACATCTAAACACTAGCTGCAGCCAGCGACCAATGCTAAAACCATGGAAAAACATGCTAAACAGGAAGTTTCCAATGGCACGTTTCCAGTGAACGCACAATGTTGCCATAGACCGGCAGGTGCAGTCTTCATGATTGTTAATTTAGCCTGCTCGAAAGAAGTGAGAATTATCAGTAATGCGATGATGCACGCACAGTCGAACTACATGCATTTATTGTTTTTCCTTTCTGCACAATAAACCCAAAAGTGCCCGTCTTGTGTAGTCCCTCATCTCGTGTCTTCATGTACTGTATTATATATTTCAGAATTGATTTTGCCATAGGGTTTAAAAAGGAAGGAAATGTCTGATGAATAGACCTGTGACATCTTGTATATCCCCTTCAGGTGCGGACTATGAAGTACTGTCTGGAAATATGTCAAATTTTCATGGCACGATTCCAAGGTGCTCAGTTTCCAATAGAAGAAAGAAAAAGAAATGTGTTGTTCTGTCTGAATATCGGTAAATAATGTTAATTAGAGTCTAATTAAACACCTATATACTTATCCTGCAATCAGTAAGCTTTAATCCTTGCATCAAAGGAACGAAGTATTAGGCCCAAAATGCATGCACAGTTTGTTTATTGGATGCATTCTTTTCCAGCAAAGAATACTCTTGGTGTTGGTCCTGGAACGTGGCACGTAGAATGATTGTTGAACATTGTGGTGCCTCTAGCAGAAATCTTCCACAGCAATACCCAATGCAATGAAGTTGAATGAACGTTAGTTGTCAACGCTGGAACCCTGTACCACCATGCACACTGCGTATCGAGCCCCTAGAAGAAACACTCTGTGCATGACGCGCCTCCGAATTTTATGCGCACCATTGTACATACAGCCTAAAGGGGTGCTGTATGTACAATTTACGCACTAGTTCATTTCCTTGATAAATATGTTTAGGCAACTATGCTTTCAGTGCGCAGAGTTTTCTGTTTCATCTAGAATGTGTAGGGCAGTAAAAAAATTTGGATAACTGTTCACCTTAAGTCTTTGAGATAAGCAAGCTACTGAATAAAAAATGTAACAGGTATGGTGGAATATTCTGAGCATTATACCCTTAGTGCAAGACAATTCACTCTATAATGTTGTATCAAATGGGGAAATATGCAAAATGGAGGAGGAATGAAGAGTGTCAGCAGTTTCAGGTGATACTTACTGTATAGTCTTCTACCATTTCACCAGAGTGAATGGCATGAAAGTTCAGCAACATCGCAGTAAGTGAAGGAGGTAGCACAGGAACATATTCTATTGCATGCAGGTGTCTGTGCATTTATATAATTTTCCTGGGGTCTGATGAATCCACTTCTCGTAGTGATCATTTTTCATAAGCCTGTGACTTTGCAATATGCAGAAACACAAGTTGCAAACAATGTAAAAAAATCTCATTGTGAGAGAGATAGTTACAACAGACACTTGACTACAAGAGACATTTGAGATTGTGAAACTATGTTTGCCATATTAACATTATATGGATGAATGGATGAAAAACTTTTATTGGGGTCCTGAAGGATTCCACCTCCGTTTTAAAGGGGTAGAATCGCGGGCCGCTCCCATGTTGGGACGGGGAGGCCCAGCCTCACCGCCGCATCGTGGGCCTTCTGGACAGCCTTGAGTTGTTGTATGAGAACCGGACTCGTGAGCATTAAATGAAAGGAGTTCTCAGAAAATTCTTCATTTTTTCTTTGTAAAGAGGGGCACCTCCAGAGCATGTGGTTAAAATCACTGCGATTCTGGCAGTCTGGACAAAGTTCTGAAATATCGGAGTAATGGCTATAGGTTACGAGGCTAGGGTATGTTCCCGTCTGAAGCATGCGAAGAGAGATTGCCTGTGGCCTAGACAACTTTTCGTGTGGCAATGGAAATGACCTACGGCCTAATTGATAATGCTTCGTGATCTCGTTGAAGGTAGTCAGAATGTCCCTAAAATGAAGGCTGCTAGCTGACTCCTCTGTCTGAGAAGCACAAGTCCCGGCGCGGTAAGTGAAGCCTCGCGCCTTGGAGTGGGCTAGCTCGTTGACATTGGGAAGGCCTCCAACCCTTAAGCCAAGGTGAGCAGGGAACCAAATAATTGTGTGGTGGGTGAGTTCCTTGCGAGCGAGAATTCTCAAAACTTCCTTGCAAACGGAACCAGAAGCGAAGGCCCTAGCAGCGGATTTAGAGTCCGTATAAATATCAGTCCTTTGTGGATCAAGGAGTGCTAGTGCAATGGCC